TTTCCCCCTTGGCCATAAGAGTTCCCTAATAATTAAAGCAATAAGAAATAACTGAACATTATTAGTACAGGGTGGTGTTAAGAAAAGTACTTGACGTTTTTACCAGTTAGAATCAATGCATGTCTCGATGGTTGGGGTTTGATTGCAGGTAACGGTTTGTGGCAGTCTTGGCATCTCTCATGTGATCAAGTTCCTTAAATGCACTAGGCATCCAGCAATGAGTCCCATAAGGATGCTTTTAAAATCTGTGAAATGAAAATGGAAATGTGTGACAGTAATATATTCACCTATAACTAACTATACAAACTCAGGAAGTACATGGAAGAATTAAAATATGCTTCATGGAATTATGTGCCTTCTTCATGTTATTATCTTTTTAAAATCTCTTCCTTTCCTAGATTCATTTTTCTAATACTGTGTCTGTGATTAATAAGTGTTTGAGAGGGATCCAAGATGGTGGCAGAGGCAGAGACAACGTGGTGAGCTGCGGGAGCAGTGGACCACTTGGAGCAGAGCCACTATGGCCTTCTACAGACCTCTGTTTATTGATAACTGAACAGTTAAACAGTTGATGACTGGTCTTCAGTGAAGATCAAGGCTCAACAACAGGAATTCAAGGATTCCCAAGGAGGAATGGGTTTGCTCCCTTTCCTATAGGTAACCTTAACACTGAGTTTTACTCCAGACCTGACCCTGAACCCAGTGCCAGTGACAAAAAGGAAATACAACTGACAGCTAAGGAAGCAAAAGAGGATGGAGCCTCTGGGTTCAACCAGCCATCCCCACCGGACCCACCTGGGAAAACACTTTTCAGTCCAGAGGGGAGCAAATGACAGGAAAATATCTTCTAATAGAACAAGAAGGCAAACAGCTTTAATCCAAGACCACCAGTAAGGTGATAAAGTATCCTCCCTTTCCCCCTTCACATCAACGCCCCTGTTCAGCATCAAGAAGCCAGAGAGTCTACATCCAGTTCCCAAATCAATAAGACAGTTGGTTTAATTGCCATTGGAAAATGCTTACCATTCCCCTGTAGCATCTGGTCCCCACTGGATCCTTTTCATTTCCTTCGCCTGATCCCCCTACCAACCAAATTGTGCAGCTCTGAAACTGCATCCCTGCCCATCCTCACCCTTCTGCCCCCAACCCTCACCTCCTTGTACCCCCATTATGTTTTCCCCAATAAAATAAAAAAATAAAAACAAACAAAAAAACCAACACAACAAACCTATATGACTTGAAACAAATTTTTATTAAAACAAAACCTTTCAGTAATAATTTAAAAAAAGTTTGAAAATATCTGAAATTATCTGAACTTTTTAAAAGTCCAATAATGTTTCCCAAAGTATATGCCAAAGAATGGTACAATATGATCAGGAAATCGGACATACTCTATTTCAACTCAAGATTCTCAGTGCACACCATCATGTTAAAATCAATCCTACTTGGGTAGCTTTTCACTTCAGAGCTATCTTGATAATCTTTCTCCTCTCAACACCTACTATATTAGAAAACATTGTGAAGTGCTGCCAAAGTGGAATCAAAACAACAAAAAATACCAATGAAACTCAATCAGTAAAACACACTAAACAAATTAAGAAGAGTAAATCAAAGAAAAAGACAGTGTTTTGAAGACAGCAACAAAATTGAAAACCTTTTAGCTACAATGGATAAGGAAAAATAAAGTAAGGATTAGAATTACTAAAAAATGCGGAATGAAAGAAAGAACAACCAAGATAAATAAAATTATTATTGAGAAGAGTTGCAAGGAGTTGCACTGTCAACGCAAAGGCACGCAGTTAAAATCCACCAGCTGTTCTATCTGAGAAAGATGAGGAACCTTCTCCCCTGGTATTTACTGCCTCTGAAAAACCTCTGGAAGGTCAGCTAACAGTCAGTTCACTTCCAAAAAAGGAGGCCTCTGAAAACCCTATGTACAACAGAACACACGCAGACTAACAGAGAGGGCAACTGAGGTGGAGCTTTCAAGCATGGAAATACAAAAGAAGAGGAACAGTTGTAAGCAGACACTAGCAATTGGAACATGGAATGTGAGAATGTGAGGAATGCAGGAAAATTAGATATTGTTAAGAAAGAAATGGAATGCATAAATACTGACATACTAAGTGTTGGTGAGATGAGATGGACCGGCATGGGGCA